CCCAGGTTAGAAGACTACAGTTTTTGTAAGACATCCAAATAGTATCTTGCTGATGAAGTCCTCAAGTATCCATTGAAATAAATGCCCCTGGCTGATTAGGGAGGTATCTAGATGGATTCTTGAGTGCCTAGCTCCTGACACCAGCTTAGCAACCAGTTGTAACTAGAGCCAGACTATTTGTATCGCCCACGTGCTGGGAAAGGGAGAGACTCTCAATGCTTACCACCCAATGGAACCCAGTGAGTCTAGCAGCTTGGTGGCCTAAGGTCAGGGGTCATACCAGGGCAGGACTGAAGACACTTAGGGAAAACAGACTTTGAGCTAAATCTTCCCCATATTGTCAGAGAAGTGATTAGCATGCATAGCTCTGAGTGATGTCATGGAAGGCAGTGGTTGGTAACGAACTATGGATGGTAAGTTGTGAAATACTTTCAATTCCACTCAGAATGGACTTCAGAGTGATTTCCACCCCAGGGTGAAGAGAGAGGGTTTGGGGAGGGATAGATGGAAACAAAACTTTCCTGTTCCGTCATCTCTGTTCCACTCTGGAGACAGAGGCAGAAATCCTCCACTGCAGCTTCTCAAACTGAAGGTCTTATTAAAATGCAGATTCTGACTCAGAAGGTCTGGGGGTGGCCAGAGATTCTGCATTTCTGGCCAGCCCCCAGGTGATGCCAGTGCCTCTAGAACACAGACCACACTTTCGGTTGGTAGGTGAAGAAGGGGGCAGTTAGATGGGTGGAAGAAAAGTCCTTTACAATCTTTGGGAGAGGAATTCTGGATCAGAGAAGCTGGACCCAACTGTGAGTGGGAAGGAGAGGAGGCACCGTGAGTCTCTGTGGCGAAGCAACCTTAAATCAGGAAGACAGAAGCCAGAGGCAAAGTGGCTTCCAGGCCAGAGGCACAACTGACTGCTGAGTAATAATGTAATGTTGACCGTTAACTGGCAGAATTTTCAACTAAGTGTTTGGTTTCTCCATTAGGTCATCTGCTCTAGATTATACGGCACATTAGTGATTAAAAACAGCATGTTCCTCCAGAAATAGCTGCTAGAAGCTTTTACAGTAGGCAGCACCCTTACATTATCATTCAGAGTTTAGCAAAGGTGTAGCAGCACCCCAGGAGTGCCTGGTAAGATAGTCACTGAACACAGTAAATCTTCTATAGGTCCCCCTTTCACTGTTCCAGGTACCCAGGCAGCTTCTCCTGCCTCCCTCCTATATGGGAATGCATCTTGTACAGAGGCTGCATTTCATACTTTCAAGGGCTTCACAGGGTTCTAGGGAGTGTAATGCAATGGGCAGTAATTGAAACGTGTGCCACTCTCACTGATGCCTGGAGTCTCCTTCCTGCACAGTTCAAGACCACCACCAGCCCCATTGATTATGCATTCTCACTGGGCTACTCTGCACACAGCTCAAGTTTGCCAAGTGCATACCACTATTATTTCTCTTCAACTCCCTCTCAGAAGAGAAACCATTGATCAGATCAATTTAATTTCTCCTACTGCCCCTCAAAGAGCACCTCGAAGGAAACTCCTCTCATCTTCCTCACCAACCTACCTCTCCTCTCCTCCTTAATGTTAACATTCCTTTATTGAAGTCTGGAATGATAAAGCTTTATTTAGGACCCACCCTAACTCCCTCCCTAAGGTGATATCTCACTTCATGTTAACTAAGAAACAGCATTTTCCCCGCATAACCCTGCACTTCTTACCCACCACTATTTGATTTCTTGGCCAAGTAGTAAGCAATTCTGTGACCCAGAATAGATCCTACAAAAATTATAATCAATCACATTTTAGGAGTTAGGTGACCCAAATCCCTTTCACAAACCCCAATACCCCATCAGGGATGAAAGCCTTTCTCCGAACTCTCTTAGTACATTCTCTAGGGGCTGCAAAAATTTCCAAGGGCAGTGCATTCTGGGGAGAGCAAGTTTGTGGTACTTGGGGTTTCCCCGGTACTCCAAAAGTACATCCTCACCTTCCCATTTATGATTCATTTCCAGCATTTCATTCATGTACCTTAAATGTTCTTTGACCACCACAGTCCCAAAACAACCATCATATTTGCCCAGTTCTCTTTCTGATCCCTGAAAAGAGCTTAGAGAGGTCACAGAATAGAGGACTTGATTGACAATTTGTGTCATTTCCAAACTGTCTTATATCCTTGGGAGAGCTGGCCATGGGAGCAGCAGTCATGAGGGATGTTCTATAAAGGGAACTATCCGAATTTCAAAGATACTATTCCTGTGATGCCCAACTACTGAGGCATAATGAAAGGGGGGGGGCTATCAAGCTTGTTATCATTATCAGAAATCTTTTCCCCATAGCAGGCCAAGGAATCAGGGGATGGGAGGGGAAGGGAGAGCTTCTGGCCATGATGTAGGAGCCTGTAACAGTTACAGTGAAGAGAACCAACGTTCAGGTTATAGGAAGGTAATGGACAGGTGAATGAATTGTCTAATGCTGCTGGTTTTCCGTGTTCTGGGATTTAGATTCATAGAACATAATACTGGAAATAATCTTAGAACATTTTGTCCACCCCTTCATTCAACAGATAAGGAAACCGAGCCTCAGAGGAGTTGCAGTTTGCACAAGGCCACCCAGTTAGCTAGCAGCAAAGCGAGGACAAAAGTCTCCTTCTCCAGACTCCAGTGTACGCACAGTTCCAGGGTTTAACACCTAGTTCTTCAATATCATTACTGACAAGACAGCATCTGGGTATAGAGAGGAATGCAGTTTCTGGGCTTTTCCCCCTTGCCTCTTGTTTCTCCTTTCCCAATTCCCATCTTTCCTTTTATAGGTGCTGCTTCCTTGAAAAGTCAGGCATATTTCAACGAGACTGGAGACCTGCCATGCCACTTTACAAACTCTCAAAACCTGAGCCTGGACGAGCTGGTGATATTTTGGCAGGACCAGGATAAGCTGGTTCTCTATGAGCTCTACAGAGGCCAAGAGAAGCCTCACAATGTTGATCCCAGGTACATGGGCCGCACAAGCTTTGACCTGGACAATTGGACCCTGCGACTCCACAACGTTCAGATCAAGGACAAGGGCTCATATCAATGCTTCATCCATCATAAAGGGCCCACAGGACTGGTTCCCATCTACCATATGAGTTCTGACCTGTCAGTGCTTGGTATGTAGTCAATGGTGTGTTCAGATCCCCCATCTTCTCAGATGAGACTCCAACAAGCAGACAAACATTTTGGGGGGAGGGGCCACCCAGAGAGAGAGGCAGAGAACAGCCTTTTCAGGGAAAGTTCATTTGAAAGGAATGCAGGGCTTGGGAGTAGGGAACTAAAAGTCCTTTGTATTTTTTATAGTTCTAAGGGATCTGTAAGAATCTACTTAGGGGACCAACTAGAGCTAACTAAACCAAGGCAGTGTGGCTAAGTGAAAACCATGGGTAAATTGGCCATTATGAAGTTTATATGAGCCATATAGGGTCTCACTCTCTTTTCATTCATTTTCTCCTTTGGTCCAAGATTTCTCATCTACTAAATCTTTGCCTGGAGCTCCTAGCACCAGAGTCAGCTGACTGATTTGGGTTTTCCCTTCAGCCTCCTGAAGACTGCTTATGACTTGTTTGTTGCCAACCATGAGCCCAGTAGACAGAAGGGAATTAACCCAAGGCACACAATCTGAAAGCTGACAAACCAGCTCCTCTGTTTTTCTAGGCCTTGAAAAACTTGTCACTATAGATTTTTTAAATTACAATACAGTAAAATTAATTATTTTAATTTTGGTATACAGTTCTGTTAATTTGAACTTATGTATAGATTTATGTAACCAGCAGTAGAAACAGACTACAAATCATTTTCAGCAAACTAAAAAAAATTTCCCCATGCTACACCCTTATAGTCATACCCTTTCCATACCCATAGCCTCTGTTTTGCATCCTGTAGTCTTGTCTTCATGTGAATGTCACATAAATGAACTCATACAATTTGTAACCTTTTAAGACCAGCTTCTTTTATTCAATATAATGCCTTTGAGAGTCATCCAAGATGTTGCATGTATCAAAAG